TCCATACGGTCTGTTTCCAAGGGAGGGACCATTCAATGGTATGATTTAAGTGACAATGAATGGACATCTTACCTCCCAGCCCCCAAATCCTCTTACTCTTGGGCCATAGTGACAGGACCCAATTTTTAGAATCAAGTGTTCCATTTTGGGGTTCAGTTATTTGATACAGCAAATATTTCTCAGCAAAATAATATACAAAGACAAGTGTTAAAGGAGCATGGATATATTAGCCTTCTCTCCTTTAAAGTTTACATGGTAACAGTGCTACCCTCTCAAGTCAGTTACCTAAGAAATAAGGGCTCCAAAGAAGTGGGAGGCGCCAATGAAATGTGTATCTATCTCAGTGCTGAATGTTCTTCTCAGGCTCAGCACCCCATCTACTTGCCTTTTTATCTCCAACACAGTGGGATTCAAAGACCAATAATTATTAATAGTCATAATAACTCATTATAGTCATTATATAACTCATTAATTGCTATAGTATTTTGCCACAAATCTGAGGTGATTCCACTGAGAAAAGCTTTCATTATAGGAATTACTCTAAGTCTAAAACAGTATTTACAGTAAAATAATCCTCTTGGTTGGTTTTTAAATTAAAATGGTTTTGAGTGTTAATGCCAGCAGATACCAATGTCTTGGTTAGATGGTCTGTTTAGTAATTGTTTTTTTCTATGTTGTGAAAATAACCAAGTTTCAGTATTATTTCCCCTTACAAAAGAGGCACCACAGGAGGCAAGCTCACAAAGATTTCTTTTTAAATCCTATAACTTATTTTACATATAAAACAGTATACTTAATATTTTAAAGTTATTCCTGACATTCTGCCAAATAGAGTAACAAAATTGTGTGAAAATATGTTTTTCTAAATTTTAACTATAACTGTATTGTGATCAAGGGATAGTTGTTTTCCACACCCCTAAAATATGTAGCTTAAATTTCATGAAGATCAATGAAGACATAGATAGACTTAACCAAAATTTATTCTATAGCAAACCTCATGATAACCTATAGTACATTAATCATGCCTACTAGAGCATTCTCTGATACTCAGAAACTAGCAAAGTACAGAGCTATAAGCAGATGTTAAAATAAAATCTGTATTGTCTCAGCCTGTATCATAGAGGTATATGACATCAAATATACAAATGCTTTCCATTAGAATTTGACATTTTAAGTTGAAACCCTTTAATATTATTAGCATTACATGCTGTGTGTGGAGTTTTTTTCTATGTGTATGCACAGATAGAAATAATTTTTCCTAATAACAATTTACCTTTCTTCTCAGAATGAATGACCTTATAATTCATTTATTCAATGAATAATGACTAAGTACTTATGAGAAGTCAGGCATTGCTCTGGGTGCAGGAGATACAGCAATGAACAAAACAAAAAAAGACCCTGTTCCAGTGAAGCTTGTAGTTCAGTGGGGCTTCCACTGTAGACAGATAATGAAGAATAAGGAAAATACATCAGATGGTGATATGTATATATCAGATGGTAAAATGTGCTAACAAGAAACATAAACCAAACTAAAAATGAATAATTGTTTGAAAACCACTGATATGATCAAAAACACTTAAATGCTAATAAACTTGATTATCCCTATATAGACATGAAAAACATTCTGGATCCATATGAATATATAAAATAATTTAATTATCATACACAACTTGAAAACAACATGAAGCTAAAATTCTCAGGAGAGTCCTTATTCCTGTAACTGTCAATGAATCATGTTGTATAGAGAAAATGTCAGTTTCATTGATCCCAAAAATTTTTTTCTTTCATCTCCTCTCTGGTCATGTTACCTTCTTGAAAACAGAGACAATAGAACACACAAAAGAAAACTAATACACATAAACAATTTCTACTGAACAGGCAGCTGAAACCCCAAATATTGAATATTACCTATCATCAGATAATCTATTTCATTACAAACTAAAAGTATTCTACATGGTTTGTATGTAAAGGAGGCCTTTCCATATAAGTTTATTTAATATTGAAAAGGTGAAACATTTAAAATACAGCACTCCTTTGACAGGAAGGCAATATAATCATGAGTGAGACCATCTTCTGCACTTGTTAAAAGTATGCCTGAGCATTATGAAAAGTAAAAACATAAGAAGCCATGCATCCTGTACCTTCTTGAGCTTCTCTATCATTTCTTCAATGAGAATGTCCCCATTCTGAGAAACTTTGCTTTCCATTTGAGTCAGCCATTCACAAAGCTCCTTGTTCTTCTCACTGAAGATGGCCCATTCATTCAATCTCTCACTTACTTGCTGACGTCTCAAGGAGAGCTGAGAAGTTTAAAATGAGAGAAATGTAAAAGGATCATCAGAGTGGAACTCACACCATGAGGAGAAGAGCCAGCAAACCCTGTGAGGTGAACTCAAATGGGCAACACCTGTGCATCTCTTTAGGCGCTTGTTTTCTGAAGAACAGTCCCAGGAGCACTCTCTACCAACATGTTCCAAGGATCTGCTATTAAATGCAAGTGGCAGACACTGAACACTGTCCTTCCCTCCTGAAGAGCCACATGCACATTTGTTTATTAAAGGTTATGAACAATGCAGCTTCACCCTGCAGTGGTTCTGTGTGGATATGATCCCGGATCATCAAACATACTTTTGCTAAAAGAGGTGGAAGAAGTGGACATAGAAAGGAATAGGAAATGAAGGGAGGAAAGAAGGGAAGAAGAAAAGGAAGGAATAAAAAATGTAAGAAAGAAAAACAGGGAAGGAAAGGGAAAAGAAAATGAAGAAGGAAGACATAATTGAGAGTCTCAGGTCTCTGGGGAAAGTGCAATAGAGGGACCCAGTGAAAAGAGGTCTGAAGTGGAAGATGCATCCCCGAGGCTCAGCTGTGTACTGATCATGTTACTTTGGGCAAGTTCTTTCATTTTCCTGCCTTCTTTCCTCTTTACTTATTTTTCTTTTCTTGCACAGCAGCTTTATTGAGAGATAATCCAAGTGCCATACAATTTATCTGTTTAAAGTATACAATTCAGTTGGGTTTTCTAATATATTGACAGAGTTTTACAACCATCACCATAACTAATTTTATAGTATTTTCATCACCACCCACCCCAAGCCCTGTACCCATCAGCAGTCTCTCCCTTTCCCCCATCCCACCTCCCTAACCTGCTTTCTATCTCTATGGATTTACCTGTTCTGGATATTTTATATAAATGGAATAATACAATATACGGTCTTTGGTGACTGGTTTCTTTCACTTAGCATAGTGTTTTTAAGGTTCATCATATATCATGTGTCACTACTTTATTGTTTTCAATTGCCAAATATAGTCCTCTGTACGGATGGATCACATTTTACTTAATAAATTTACCCAGTGATGGGCATTTGGGTTGTTTCCACTTATTGGCTGTAATGAATAATGCTGCTATGAACATTCATGTACAAGTGTTTGTGTGAACATGTTTAGTTTCTTTTAGGGTTCCTTTGGGGTTTTAGTTTCTTTCTATCTAGGAGTAGAATTGCTGGGTTACATGATAACTACAGATTGTTTTTCAAAGTAGCTGTACCATTTTACTTTCCCATCAGCAGTAGGGTCTTAATTTCTCCACATCCTCACCAACACTTGTCATTATCTGTCCTCTTGATTATTGTTATCTTAGTGGGTGTGAAGTGGTATCTCATTGTGGTTTTGATTTACATTTCCCTGATGGCTAGTGATGCTGAGAATATTTTCATGTTTCTTGGCCATTTGCATATATTCTTTGGAGAACTATCTTGTCAAACCCTTTGCCCATTTTTTCATTGGGTTGTGTTTTCATTGAGTTGTAATAGTTCTTTACACATTATAGATCAACAGGCCTGTTTTCATATCTCTAGGTCTAGAGTGATTCTTTCTTGAATTGTAAAGTTTTCTGGCTTCATAATACTCTATTTAATTGAACTAAACTACATGTTAGTAAAATATAATGTAATTTGAGTGGCAAGAATATGATCCTTTTTTACAGATGTTCTACATAGTCATGTCAACAATGCTGGACCTCCCACCATTCATTGCATCACATGAAACACCTACCTCTCAGTTTTCATTTTTTCTGCCAACATTTTATTATGAAAAACTCAAAACATACAGAGAAGTTGAAAAAATTACAAGGTAAGCACCCATGATATACTCCCTTGACTCTAAAATTGTTAACATTTTGCTACATTTGCTTTAATACATATATAGTCCTTTATCCATCAATCCATTTTACTTTTTGATGCACTTCAAACCAGTTTCCGTTTAAAAATGAAAGTGAAACTACTTCTAAGTTGCTATACATACTTCCTAGTTAGCAATTCTGCCTAGAGTTGGCTTTGTTAATAATTAGTGAAATAATATTCAAGGCCTTTGTTCACAACTCCAAATGTCCCTGATTCTACATCTAAGAAAACAGGTGGGAATAGGTTCATGAGCCCAGGATATCCAAGCCAGGGCCAGCCGCAGGCACAGTGAGATGCCTAGACAGTGAGCTCTATGACCTACCATAGTTCTTGAGATGCCACCAATAGAAATTCGTTCTTCTAAGTTACTTATGATCTTTAAAAATAAAATTCTCCCTGGTGACACTGATGAATCCATTACTTCTCCTTTAGTATAATTCAGTTTACCATTGAGTTTTATTTGAAGCAGAAAAACACAGACCAGCTGAAAGGCAGTGAATTTACTTAGGATGGATGCCGACAGGAATGGAAAAGGCTGGGAAAACACAGGTCGAAAGTTCTGGAAAAAATTTTCACCAGCATTAAACTATATCAAGATGCTGAAGGTGAGACCATGATCCTCCTGGCACCCTCTTCCTTTCAAACTCTGACAGCAGTGCATTCTGATCCCCTGCAGGAATGCTAACATCTTGATTACCTGGTGGATCTGATTTTTTCTTTTTCATTCACAGAGCATCAGAGTCAGGAGTGTGGCTGGTGGTTAAAATTCTGGTTTAACTGATGTCCAAGCTAAAACTATAGTTTCATAATTAGGACCTCCCAAAGCAACTGTTTTCCAAAAAAGAGTAAAAACCCCTGCCCTTTATACTTAAGATTAAGAAGTCTTATTATGTGTAGCCCTTCTCTTCCTCTTCTCCAAATCTTGGCCATGAGCTAGAATGAATTCTAGAGCTTATCTCAACATCTTCCTGGAAGGTGACCACCTAATAGAAAAATATTATGTTTCTTTGGGAGATAGGTATTATTATCCCCATGTCAGAGACAAGGTGAGAGAAGGTCACACAAAGCTGAGGCATTCGTTTATAATCAGTATAAGATCGGACCAGCAAAGCTTGAGCATTTGATACACATTACAACATTATGATCAAATATCCAGGGGCAACTGAGATTCAAAAATAGTCCCTGCCACTTACTAATGATGTGACCAGGGCAAGGTTACTCATCTTCTCTAAGCCTTACTTCCTCATTTGTAAATTAATCTTTCATTTGCTCCAAATTCATTAAATGTTTATGGTTTGCAGAAAGCAAGTATCTATGTGCCAAGCATTGTCCTATGGACTGGAATACAGTAGGCTCATAATGGAATATAAGTAAGAACATCACTTAAGCATACTGAAGGTTAACAAAAGCTGGCCGTAGATACACACTATGACTCCCAGACATGCCTGCATGACTACAAGGCATCATTTGAGTTTTTACTGTTTTTTTCCTCTAACAGTCATGTATTCAGTACCTCCAGTCTGCAGCTTGAATATATATCTCTAGTGTTTTATCACACACCATGGAAGCATTGCTTTCATTTGCTTACTGTAGAGCAATAGCTGAAAGAAGAAACAGATCGACTGCAAGCATTGGTTGCAAACAGGCACCAAAAGCTTTCCAAAAGTCTTAAATTAATAACAGAGGCAGCATTTTCCTTTTGGTTCATAAGACTCATATTTGGGCTGTGTGATAAGTGAATAATACCCTCTCGGTCTTTGGATTCAGTCGAAACTCTCAAGGTATTTATCAGGTTAGCACATATTTACGTTTGCTTGAGGTATCAACACACTTCATTGCCAAGAGCTGGTAAGTATCAGTTGAAACCTCCAGAGCGTGAGGCAGCCAAACAGGAAACACATCCTTTCCTACCTCAAATATTTTACCATGGCCATTTGAAACACACTGAGCAATTACAATGATCATATATTTATATCTCCACTAGAACTGCAAACAGATTTACAAACCAAAACAAGAAAAAAGCAAATATAAGCAATGGTTGACGGAGGCACAACAGGCCACTTGAGGAGACTATTTAGAAACAAACACTTGGGTACATTAACTCTACTCTGAAACATGACTTACGGCTTGTCTT